GTTGATCCCATCCACATCTTCCTTGGCTTGCAAATCATTTTTTTGCCCTTTCATCCCCTTTTCGGGGTGGAATAAGCCCATCTCCAGCCCCCCTCCTCCTGCCTCAGTTTTCCTGGGCTAAATCAGGGAGGACAGCCTGTCCCTAGCATACAGTCCCTGGAAGAGGAGCCCCGTTGCTGCAGCACGTGCTGGCATGGTCTGATCCTGCAGCATCCTTTGGACCAGTCTGGGTGCTGCACTTCCATGCTGTGACAGTCTCTTCCCAGCTGTCAGATCAGAGATGGAGGATAACAGGGAATAACACAGGAAAACAGCGTTTCCCTCCCCTCCTCCCCACCTTGACCTTGTATCACCCAAAAGAGCAATGAAGGGGAAATGAAAATGAACAGTTTTGGGACAAAACCTGGGCTTGGCTCAGGAGATGCTTGGGATGATGCCAGAGGGTGATGCCAGGTCTGGAGGCTGCTCCCATCACCCAGCAAGGTACAAAACCTGAGCCCAGGCTTAGTACTGAGCCCTTGCCCCCTCACAGAGCCCTATGTTTCTGGCTGCCCCTTTCCCTTCCCTCTTGGGGAAGAGGATTTTCCTGCCTGTGCACAGGGATGATCCGGGCAGCTGCAGCTCAGGGGAATGGGAAGGATGGGAAACCTCTTGGGGCCACGGGAGGACAGAGTGTGGAAGCCAGGACACCCCGTGCATGCAGGAGACACCCCAGGACACACTGGCTGCTGGGACCTCGCTGCAGAGGGGATGTGGGGGGAAAGCTCAGGGGAGCAGGGGGCAATCGCCTCTTTGTGCTCATGGGGAAGGGATGTGGGTGACACATGGTGGGATCCCCACCTTCACCCCCATGAATCCCTCTTTGCCCTTTTGCTCTGCAAAGGGGTTTGCTTGTAAACAGCAGCCCCTGGGTAACACTTTAATCCCTCGCCTCTTGGCTATTATTCATCCCCAGCTAACCTAAAAGCCTCCCCCTTTTTCTCTGCGAGGCACCCCCAGAGCAGAGGAAATTCCTCAGCCCTGACGTGATGTGAAACACGAGCGGCTCGGCCCCAGCCGCCCCCTTCTCTGCCCCAACCTACCCGGGCCATTTCCCAACCCAGGTTTCCCTGTAGCATCCCAATCCAGCCCCCCCCCCCCCCGCCTTCCCTCTCCTTTTTTTCCCCCAACCACCCTTTTCTGCTTTAGACATTGTAACCCGAGAGGCTGGAAATGCAGCTCCTTTCATCTTCCATTTCCCACATCCTGAGAGTCTGGGGAGAAGGAGCCCACCCAGATGAAGGAATCCCAAATATGTGGCTCCCTCCACCTCCCCATCCCCTCGGCCGCCCCCCGTGCAGCTCCATTCACAAAGCACATTAGCCATGCTGCCGCCTCCCCGCACACCTCGCCCCAAAAGCCCGCGCTAAAAAAGCCAACATACAAAAAGAAGTTGAAATTAAGAAGAAGAAATCCTCGGGTCTGCTCGCCCCAGGGAGCAGGATGGGTCCCTGCACCTCCTGCCCTGCTCGCAGGTCCCATCGTCTTCCTAAACCAGCAGGGATTGGCACCCAAAGGCCAGGACTGGGTCATGGCTTAGGGGCTTTATCAAGTGCTCCAGCACATCAGTGAGGACCTTCCCCCTCCTTGTCCTTAGGTGACTCCAGCCCCAGGATGGGATATGGGGTTCCCAAGCTGTCACTGCTGCTCTGGGGGCTCAGATGGGTTAGGGGTGACCACAAGGACCCAGATGGGGAGGGGAATCAACACCTTGCAGCTGCCCTGGCCCCCAGCATCCATGATCTCAATCCATGGCTGGGGGGAGCACCAGCATCTCCGAGCACCCCAGGATCGGCTGCATGCTGCAGGTTGATGCCCACCACCCGCACCACGATGATGCTGAGGGATGAACACTCATTTTATTGCGCTTATAAAGCCACCACTGGGACACGAGGGCACCTTGTCACCGCCATAGAGGTGACTTCAAGCGGGTGACGGCACGTTGGGGTGTCCCAACCGCAGCACCCAGGGCCTGGCCGAGGGCAGCGCCCGCTTCCTCGCCGGTGTGGCAGGGGCTTGCTCACCACACGTAGGTGGGAGCATCTTGGCTGAGGAAGCTTCACGCTTTCCCTGAGCACCAGCAGGTTCCTGCGGCCGCCTCACGCCCCACGCCCTGGCCCAGCCGGTTCTGCGGGCGCCCGAGCCCAGCGAGCCACGAGCAGACCCAGCCAAGGTCATGCAGTGACTCAAAGCTCATGCTTGGAAAACCACAGCCTTTCTGTGTCATGGCTTTAATAGCCCCACCGTCCTCCCCTCCCTCCTCCAGGGATGCTGTCCCATCTGGAGGGGGGTGCTCGTGTGGCTGATGTGGGGTTGTGCTCATGGCTTGGCATTGACCTTGCTGTTTTGTTTGCAGTTTTAACTCTCCACGAGCTGCAACTTTACCACCCCTCCACCCCAGGGACTCCTGGGCAGCGAATCTTCCCTCTCCACCCCCTGAGTGTGATACCCTGGCCCTCTCCATTTTCACCTCTTTGCTAATTGTGCTGGCGGGGAAGGCGAGGGGGAGGAAGTACAGAAAGTAAACTGGGAAAGCAACACAGCAGCTCCAAGGGCCCAGCACAGCAATCAAGCGATAAAGCAGTAATTAAGCCTGATTATCATGCAAGGCAGCCCCGGTTAGACTGGAATGCCACTGAAGAGCCCCAAAGCTGCCAGGATTGTTTGCAGGGCTGAGAACTGATCTTTTGATGTCTGCTGGAAGCTCCTTTCCTGCAGACCTGCCACCAGCTCCATGTGCCACCCGGGGGTCCTGCTTCTTCCCAGGCACGGTCCTGCACTTGGGTTTTAACTCCCTGCAAGACTTATGCCACCTCCTCTGAGCTGCAAACTGCTCCCTGGGGGTCAAGCCTTGGGTTTGACCCAAGGGTGGGAAGAGAGCCTGGATCAGGGATGCTGAAAGACCTGTTGTTCTGCTCAGACATCCATGTGTCCATGCAAGTGCTAAAAGACACAGGCTGCTCTTCTGCATCCATCTTTGGTGGCTTTCATCCTGGAGGAAGAGGGCTGGGAGAAGAGGTGATCCCTATGGACAAGGGCAAAGCAGGTAGCCAGCAGGATGGGGTTTGTTTCATGTTAGTTTGAATGCCTGACACATCCCAATGGCCTCACCCGGGTTGGGAGGGGAAAGGTGAGTATGTGGGATGGGCCTGGGGGGGAAAGATGGCTTCTAACCCCGGATTGGGGTCATCTGGGTAACAGGGATGGGTTATTCTGGAGAGAGATGGATTTGGGTGGGAAATGGGGCCACATCCCATCTCTGCATGGCCAGGGCATGGAGAAATGTCTCCCCATCACCTCCAAGATGGGGGTTTTCCCTAACCTAGGAGGGATGCAACCCCTGGGCACGGGCAGGAAGAGTCCTGCTGACTCAGCCCCCCAAGGCAATGGGCAGGTTTCCACACAAGGATGATCTGGCCCCAGCTCATCCAGGCTGCAAGACACGCTGCTCCCATCCACGCTAATGAGCAGGTTGGGGCAGAGTGAGGACAAGGCTACACCTCCCAAGGAGGTCAGGGGAAGGCAGCCCCCAGGAAGGCCCAGCAGCTCCGGGTGAGCTTTGTTTGTCAATAAAGAGCTGGGTTTCCAGGGCACCCCATCCTTACCTTTCATCATCCTGGCAAAGAACTTGATAATGGGTTTGGGGCCAGATGCTAAGTCACCCCGTCCCATGGGTGAGCACTGACTGGCAGAACCAGTTGTCCCAAATATGCCTGGGTGCTGGGTGGGAATAAGGCAGGAGAAAGGCCCTGCCCGCCCCTCTCCTCCGCCCTCAACTTGCATCACCCCAAATAACAACAATAACATACATAAAAATAAATAGGGGAAAATAAATAATAAAAAAAAAAAAGGATGAAGGGTGCAGGGTCAGATTTTCCAAACTTTTCGCCAAAATCAAATGCCACCTTCTGAGTAAAAAACAATGTAGGTTTTTCAGGTTTTAGGTTTTTGGTTATCTCAGTTCCTGAAAGAGGATGTGCTGCGTTCCTGGTAAATCTAAAGGAGGCAACAGCGGTGGCGAGCGCTTCCTGGCTGGTGCGCGAGCTGAGCCACAGCTCCAGGCACCACTTTGGGGGTTACTTTTTGGTTGTGTTTTATTCTTTATTTTTCTTTCAAGAAATACTAAAGGAGACAGGAGCTCACCAGCGTTTCCAGTAAATCCCATTCGATTTCAAGCAATTCATCCCACAAGTATGTGTGGGATGCTGGGAACTCCTCGGTTTCATTCGGGCGAGAGAGTCCAGATGGGCTTCGTCTGGAATAATTCAGCGCCCGGTGGCTGGAGCTCTTTGCTCTAAATGCTAATAGAGTGAGTAATCAGAGACCTCCATCCAGTAAATTATTTATCTTATCTCTGGAACTCGGGAAAGCATCTCAGCCAGCGACTTCTGCGGAGGAAAACAGGGAAAACCGCGTTGATAGACAAGAGTCCCAGCTGGCATCGGCACTTTTACTAGAAAAGGGAAAAGTTTAGACACTCGTTTGCCCGCGATGAAGTAACGGCGGCGCGGGGGGAGCGGGCGGGATGGGGGCCGGGAAAGGCCGGGCACCGCTGGCGAGCGGCGAGGCTGCAGGGAAAAGGGATAATGTGAGGAACGAGCTCCACAGGGAGGGCTCGGACAGGAAGCGCCGCGGCTCGGTCGCGGGGGTGATGCCGCTGAGAGCGGGGACGCGACCCGCAGCCGGTGCCTCCCCGGTGCCCCCAGCGCCGGGGCTCCTCCCGCCACCCCGCGGGACTCCCGCGCCGCTCCGCTCTCCCGCTCCCGGCAGTGGCGGCGCTGGGCGGGCCCCGCCGCTGGCTGTGGCGCGGCAGCACCGCCCCCTGGCGCTCCCCGGCCCGCCCCCAGCCCCCGCTACGCCCGGGGCCGGCCGGGGGCCGCCGCCACACACGGGGCCCGGCGCCGCGCGGAGCAGCCGGGCCGCGGCCGCTCCCTCACCGCCCCGCAGCCGCCGCGGCCGCCTCCGCCCCGGGGCTGCCCCGCCCGGCCCCGGCCGCTCGGCCCCGCGACTGCCGGCTCCGAGCCACCGGAGCCCGGTGCGGCTGCGGAGGTGCCGGGACCGGCCCCGGTCGGGCGAGGGGACCGGGATGCTGCTCTCGAAAATTAGCTCGTTGGCCCATCTGCGCTCCGGGACCGGCGGGGAGCTGCACGCCGCGAAGCTGCAAGCGGGTAAGGGCGGTAACTGCCCGGCTCCGCTCGGCCCGGGGCGGCGGGTAGGGGCCGGTTGGAGCCCCGGCTGCAGCGGTAACGGCCGCGTCTGGCGCGCAGGGAAGGAGAAGGAGCCCCTGGAGCAGCTTTACCGCGTGGGACCGCTGCTGGGGAGCGGCGGCTTCGGGTCCGTGTACTCGGGGGTCCGCCTGTCCGACAGCGCCCCGGTAAGTGGCGGGGCCGGCGCTGGGGCGGGGGGAGGCGGCGCGGCGGGGGCCAGCTCAGCCCAACGCTGCCCTTGGCTTGCAGGTGGCGATCAAACACGTGGCTCGGGACCGCATCTCCTCGTGGGGCGAGCTGGTGAGTGCGGGACCACCGGGACAGCGGGAGGGGAAACCGGGAGTCACCGGGGAAGGCGGAGCAGCCGGGTGGGGGATGCCCGGTACCGATGGGACCGAGCAGGGCGGCACCGGAGCATCCTCGTGCTAGGGGAGCACGGTACTGTTGTGGCCAGACAGGAGGGCACTGGAGCGTCCGCTGGACTGGGGGATGCCCAAGCACCGTTGGGGCTATGCTGGTGGACAGACGAGCTTTCCCCTGGTTGGGGGATGCCTGGCACTTGTGGGGCTGGGCAGGAGAGTACCAGAGTATCCGTTGGACCAGGAAATGCCCAAGCACCATAGGGGCCGGGCAGGGGGACAGTGGAGCTTTCCCCAGGTTGCAGGATGCCCAGTACCAGTGGGGCCAGGCAGGGCAAAACAGCAGCAACCGCAGGGCAGGGGGCACCAGACCCCTGGCGCAGCATCAGCCCAGCTGATGGCATCATGGTCCCCCCGCAGCCCAACGGCACTCGAGTACCAATGGAGATAGCCATGCTGAAGAAGGTGGGCTCTGGCTGCAGCGCCATCATCCACCTCCTGGACTGGTTTGAGCTGCCCGACAGCTTCGTGCTGGTGCTGGAGCGTCCGGAGCCGTCGCAGGATCTGTTTGACTTCATCACGGAGCGGAGGTTCCTGCCTGAGGACCTGGCGCGGGGGCTGTTCCTCCAGGTGCTGGAGGCTGTGCGACACTGCCACAGCTGCGGCGTCGTGCACCGAGACATCAAGGACGAGAACATCATCATCAACCTGTCCACCGGAGAGCTCAAGCTCATCGACTTCGGCTCCAGCACCTTCCTCAAGGACACAGCCTACACCGAATTTGACGGTGAGCCCGGAGCTGGGGGGATGCTCCCGGTCCCGGGCAGTGCAGGGCCCAGCCTGGCTGGGCACCGGCAGTTCCCTGCATTGCTGGAGGGGGAGTTCATTCTCTAGCAGCTGCCAAGCAGCTTTTTGGCGCGGGGCGGATGTTGTGAAACGGGAGCCGACAGCCTCTGCCACCCGCCCTGCCCCTGGCTGGGGGTTGCCAAACCCGTGCTGGGGCCGGTTGGGTTTGCAGGCATGGAAGTGCTGGGGCTGCTCCGCTCCCTTCGTCTGCCGTGGCTTGTTATGATTTCTCAGTGGCTGAGGTGGGGGCAGGCGGGTTTTCCCCCCGTAAGGGTCGGTGCTCCCCCGGTTCCGTGCTGCCATCTTCCGGCACCCGCGGCTTTTCCTTACAACCCAAAGTTTGTCAACAAGAGTCACGTGCTGATGACGGGGAGCGGGTGACACGGTGTGTGTGTCCCCATGGGGCCACTGGTGCAGCCTCTGTCATCCCAGGGATGCATCCTCCTGCTGAGCTGTGCCTGTATCCCATAGGAACACGCGTGTACAGCCCACCGGAGTGGGTCCGCTACCACCGCTACCACGGCCGTCCAGCGGCCATCTGGTCACTGGGCGTGCTGCTTTATGACATGGTCTGCGGGGACGTCCCCTTCGAGCGTGATGAGGACATCATCGGTGGGGAGCTCTTCTTCCGGCGCCGGGTCTCTGTCGGTGGGTACCCGGCCTCGTGGCACAGGGGAGAACGGGATTTAGGAGGTGTCTCCGGCCACACGAGCATTGTGTGACTCACGGCGGGTCCTGCTTCTCTCCCCAGAGTGCCAGCACCTCATCCGGTGGTGTTTATCCCTGCACGCTTCCGACAGACCATCCCTGGAAGACATTTTCAACCACACGTGGCTGCAAGCCCTTCACCTGCCCCAGGAGACAGCCGACATCCACCTGCACAGCCTCATCCAGGAGCCTGGCAAGTGACAGCTTCAGGCAGCTCCTGGCCAGAAGCAGCAAAGAATCCCAGACTTGTCCTGCTGAGCACAGAACTGAGCAAGGATCCTCAGATGCACCTCGCACAGCTTGTCCTGGACCTCGTCTTCCAAGCACCAGTGGCCGCCATCCAGCCCGGCTGCCCTGGACTTTGTGTTGTTCCGTTTAGTTTGCTTTGGTTTGGTTTGTTCTGGTTTGTTTTCTGGGGGGGGATCAGGGTTTGGCTTTGTCCAGTTTGGGTTTCAGGGGGACTGGGGTAGAGTTTTGGGGTTGGCTGTTTTTTTAGGGAGGTCTGGGATTTTGGGCAATTTGGGCTTTTTGGAGGGTGGGTTTTATCAGGGAGCTGGGTTGGGGGGTTGGGTGTAGTTCTTGTGTTTCGTTTTTTGTTGTTGTTTTGTTTTCTTTGTTTTGTTTCTGTTTCTGGGTTTGGAGGCTCCCAGGTGTCTCCTGACCTGCTGGATTCAGGAACACAAGAGGAACAGGGACCTTCTTGTGAGAAAAGCTTCAACAGGGAAGAACTGATGGCGGGGGGCAGGTCCAGGGTCGTGCCTCTTCTCCTCTGTCCCCCTGCTTGAGTGCCTTCAGTTGCCACCTGGGCTGTGCTGGAGGAAATACTTGAATTTTCCTACTCTGGTGCTTTCCCGAGACTCGCCTGGATGTACAGCTCCTTGCCAAGGAGCTCAGAGGACAGCGGGAGCCCAGCCGGGTGATGCCTCCTGTGCCTCCATCTCACGTGGATTTGTCTGGGGTTCCTTGCTTCTCTGTGCCCTCATGAATGCACAAACAATGCAAACCAACAGAGCTGTAAATATGGACAAAGTCAGAGAGGAGCAAAGTCTGTTGTACAGTTGTTAATAGTGCTAAGAATTGACCTTTTTTCTTGTTGCTCCAGGTTTGGTTTTTAACTTATTTTCATGAATTTGTTGTTTGTTTTGTTTTTTTTAAAGAGTTCTAGCCGGTGGGCAAAGTTATTTATTTATTTATAATTCCCATGGGTTTCCAACCCGCGCCTTGCTCCTGCAGCTGCTGATCCCCTGGTTTTCCATTTGGATCTTCCCTCCGTGTGTGTCCTGTGTCTGCCCCCAGCTCCGTAGTGTTCCTGTCAGCAGCCTGGCGGAGGTGTGGAGCAGCTCCTGCTCCCAGCTCCCTGTGCCCACAGTTGTGGTTGCTGGTGTTTCCCTGCCACGGGCAGGTTCTCAGTCTGCAGATGAGGTTTGGTTGTCTCCAGGGGTGTCTTGTTTGGGGCTGGGCCGGGGGAGCTGGCCCAGGCTGTCTGCATGTCAAGTCTTGATGTGTAGCCGAGTGTTGAGCCGGTGGGATTTGTGTTAATAGTTCATATTGTACAGGGGAACTCAGAAATCTTATTTTTTTTATGCGGTTTTAAATAAAATTGAACCACTTGATGTGATGGAGCCATCCATTTATCGCAGGGCGGGATGAAGGGATGTTGTGCAGGATGCAGGGCACTACACTGGCTACTGCAAGGACCACCAGTGTGTGTCCCACAGGGACTGACTCAAAGGCTGCTGGGCCGCGTCAACCAGGACCCGCAGCTGAAAGCACCAGGGGGAAGGCTGGATCCATCCCTCGGCAGGATGTTTCCGGCATCCACTGCTCCTGCCAGGTCTCTTGGAGTGATCAGGGTGCTGGAGCCCTTTCCGTTTCCATCCGTCCGCAGGCTGGTGTGGAGCATGTGCTGGGTTTGCCAAGTAAACAAACATCAAAGCACCCCGATGAGACGCCGGATGTTGTCGGCCAAATTCAGTTTTGGTAAGGCAGATCCTGCTGCTCCGGCTCTGCTGGCGCAGAGCGGAGCGGGTGCTGCATGCTGGGTGCTGGTGGGTGAAGGAAGCCACCACGGGCTGTCCCCACCTCCAGCTCGGCTGCGGTGAGCGCAGAGCCAGAGGAAGTTGATGTTGGGATTACGAGAAGTCAGTCAGCAGTGGTTAACGCTTCACTCGAGCTTTTAATCTCCAAACTGTCAAACCCCGCTTCCAGCTCTGCGGTGCTTTGGTGTCAGGGCTGCTGGGTTTGGGTCCTTTGTTAATTTGTTGTTCTTTCTTGGGATTCTATCATTCTGTTAATTTTTGCGCTGAATTTGAAGCACTGCTCCTGCTTGACCTCCTGGTCCCCTGCTGCTGTGTGCACAGTGCTGTCTGCTCAAAGAAGGGGCACGTTTCCCTTTCTGCAGGTTGCTTTCCAACCTACAGTCACCTTGCAGCTCGAGCACAACAGGACCCTCCTTCCCTTGGCTTGCCCCAGGACCCTCCTGTTTAAAACGCAGGCAGCGATCCCTTTCCCAGCTCACCCCGGGCTGGCCGGCATCACTCTCCGAGCCATGGGGCTGCTATGGGGAGGATGAGACAGGGAGCCCTGGAGGCAAGCACCAGCCTGGCGTGTGACTGGTGTGTGGGTCACTGCTGAGCCGCTGCCTTCTGCAGAAATCTTCACTCTGGGTTTCTGCTTTCTCCTTTTTAACTCAGCTGCATCTTTGGTCTCCTCTTTGGGGCTGTGAGGAGCAGGAAGCGCGGCTCCAAACACCTTCAGAGCTCAGGCCTATTTCGAGATGTGGCTTGTATTGAACCTCCTCTCTCACTTCTGCCCCGGGCCCTCCGGGAAGCCGCTCTCAGGCAGCACCAAACCTCCCCCGGGCTGCCGTGGCTGTGAGGGGCCCGGGCCCCTCGGGTGGCCGCCATCTCCCCTAGCACCCCAAAGCACTATCGCAGCCAGCGCGGCTGCAGGCTGAGCTCGGCCCAGCCCTTCCCGTCGGCGCTCACCAACGGCTGGGCTGTTTCTTAGAAACCTCGCCGCAGAAGAGCCGAGCAGCCCCAGCAGGGGCTGGGGGCTCGCAGGGACACGGGGTTTGTGCCTTTGCTGCTGGTTTTGTCCCCACTGGGCTTGTCCTGCAGGAAGGGAAGAGGGGCATCGTGGCCGCTGACATGACCCCACAGCTGAGCACCCTCTAGTCCTGCCCGGGCACCATCCTGTCCTTCCAGATACAAGCTTGTCCTGCCAAGGTACCACCTTCTGGGGTCAGAGGCCAATCTTGTCCTTCTAAGGTGCCATCTTGTCCTTCTAAGGTGCCATCTTGTCCTGTCTGGTGACCAAGTGAAGCCAAGTTTTGGGTGCTGGAAAAGGATCTTGTTTGATCCCCTGTTCTCTGCTTTTCCTGTGCAGTGAGACCTTCACAGGGCCAAGAGCCACCAGATCTTTCACCCTTTTCCAAGCTGTTGGTGCCCTTCCTCCAGGGTAATGGTTTTGTGTCCTCAATCAACCTTTTTCTTACGGTTAGGAGGGGGTTAAGCAACCCCAAAACTGAAACAACAGCTCCCGTTTCACTCTGAAGCAGCCACTTCAGCCAACCTGGAGTGACGCGTAACACGTGCGTGTCTGAGTGATGAGCAGAGGAACAGGGATCTCACCCCGCCACCAAAGCTGTGAGGCAAACAGGTCCCACAGACCGTCCCTGAAGACATTTACACCGGCTGGAGTCTGCCTCTTGATGGTGATTTTGTGCTCGCTGGGCTTGTGCTGCAGGAAGAGAAGAGGGGCATCGTGTCCCCTGACAAGGTCCTGCTGCTGAGCACCATCTAGTCCTGCCCGGGCGCCATCTTGCTTTTCCAAGTTACACTTTTGTCCGGCCATCTTCCGGAGCCAGGGCACAATCTTGTCCTTCTGAAGTACTGTTCTGTCCTGCTAAGGTACTGTCTTGTCCTTCTAAGGTGCACCCTCTTGTTTCGTCCTTCTAAGGTATTACCCTGTCCTTCTAAAGTACACCCTCTTGTGCCCAGGCTCCATCTTGTCCTGCCTGGGCGCCATCTTGTTCTCCCTCATTTAGTATCTTTTCCTGAGGCAGGGCTGGAAGAGTCCTGCCCGGGCACAAGCTTGTCCTGCCTGGTTTCCATCTTTCCCTGCCCAGTTGATACCTTGTCCTTCTGAAGTACAATTTTGTCCTGCCAAGGTGCCATCTCCTGGCGTCAGAGCACAGCATTGTTCTGCTAAGGTCCCATCTTGTCCTGCCTGGGCGCCATCTTGTCCTGCCTGTGTGACCGAGTGCAGCCAAGTTCTGGGTGCTGGAAGAGGATCTTGCTGGATCCCTGTGCTCTGCTTTTCCTGGGCAGTGAGACCTTCACAAGGGCAAGAGCCACCACATCCGTGTCCCAGACCTCTGCCATGGGGAAGGAGCCATGGCAGATGAGATGGGAGACCTGAAGACCTGCAGCCGCGGCACGGCTGCCCATGGCTCCCCTCCATGCTGCCCATCACCAGCACATTGTGGCACAGGGACTGCACACATGGACTGGAGGAGAGGAAAAGGGTTTTTCACCCCTTGTTTCCCCTTGATGGGGAGTTCACTGCCCTTTGGTAGGAGAGGATAAGGACATCACTCAGACCGAGTGAGTTCCCGGGGCTTTATATGAGAAAACCCCCTACTTACTCACTGTAAAAAGCCTACTGTAAAACCCTTTCCCTGTGTAAGTTGAGTCAAACGCAGCAGCTTCAGCTAATGAAACATGTTTTTAAAGGGGCTTATCCCAGTGTTTCTTTCATCCTTTTCCCAGCTTTGGTGCCCTTCCTGCAGGGTCATGGTTTTGCGAACTCAGTCACCGTGTTTCTCAGTTAGGAGGGGGTCAGGCAAGCCCCCGACCGAAACAACACGTCCCGTTTCACACCGCAGCAGTCACCTCACCCACCCGAGCTGGAGCACCGGCACGCGCGTGCACCTGGGGGGCAACCCCGGCACCCGGCGGGGCTTAAGGAAAACAAGGGGAAACGCGAGGAATAAGCTCCCCGCGGCGGGCTCGGACGCGGAGCACCGCGGGGATGCTGCCGGTGAGCGCGGGGCCGTGACCCGCAGGCCGGGGCTCCCGCGCTGCTCCGCTCTCCCGCTCCCGGCAGTGGCGGCGCGGGGCGGGCCCCGCCGCTGGCTCTGGAGAGGCAGCGCCGCCTCCTGGCGTTCCCCCGCCCGCCCTCAGCGCCAGCTACTCCCGGGGCCGGCCATGGGCAGCCGCCGCCAGACGCGCGCTGCGGTTGTGGAGGTGCCGGGACCGGCCCCGGTCGGGCGAGGGGACCGGGATGCTGCTCTCGAAAATTAGCTCGTTGGCCCATCTGCGCTCCGGGACCGGCGGGGAGCTGCACGCCGCGAAGCTGCAAGCGGGTAAGGGCGGTAACTGCCCGGCTCCGCTCGGCCCGGGGCGGCGGGTAGGGGCCGGTTGGAGCCCCGGCTGCAGCGGTAACGGCCGCGTCTGGCGCGCAGGGAAGGAGAAGGAGCCCCTGGAGCAGCTTTACCGCGTGGGACCGCTGCTGGGGAGCGGCGGCTTCGGGTCCGTGTACTCGGGGGTCCGCCTGTCCGACAGCGCCCCGGTAAGTGGCGGGGCCGGCGCTGGGGCGGGGGGAGGCGGCGCGGCGGGGGCCAGCTCAGCCCAACGCTGCCCTTGGCTTGCAGGTGGCGATCAAACACGTGGCTCGGGACGCAGCAGCAGCCTCGCCTGTAAGGGTCGGTGCTCCCCCGGTTCCGTGCTGCCATCTTCCGGCACCCGCGGCTTTTCCTTACAACCCAAAGTTTGTCAACAAGAGTCACGTGCTGATGACGGGGAGCGGGTGACACGGTGTGTGTGTCCCCATGGGGCCGCTGGTGCAGCCTCTGCGATCCCAGGGATGCATCCTCCTGCTGAGCTGTGCCTGTATCCCATAGGAACACGCGTGTACAGCCCACCGGAGTGGGTCCGCTACCACCGCTACCACGGCCGTCCAGCGGCCATCTGGTCACTGGGCGTGCTGCTTTATGACATGGTCTGCGGGGACGTCCCCTTCGAGCGTGATGAGGACATCATCGGTGGGGAGCTCTTCTTCCGGCGCCGGGTCTCTGTCGGTGGGTACCCGGCCTCGTGGCACAGGGGAGAACGGGATTTAGGAGGTGTCTCCGGCCACACGAGCATTGTGTGACTCACGGCGGGTCCTGCTTCTCTCCCCAGAGTGCCAGCACCTCATCCGGTGGTGTTTATCCCTGCACGCTTCCGACAGACCATCCCTGGAAGACATTTTCAACCACACGTGGCTGCAAGCCCTTCACCTGCCCCAGGAGACAGCCGACATCCACCTGCACAGCCTCATCCAGGAGCCTGGCAAGTGACAGCTTCAGGCAGCTCCTGGCCAGAAGCAGCAAAGAATCCCAGACTTGTCCTGCTGAGCACAGAACTGAGCAAGGATCCTCAGACGCGACCATGCACGTCTTGTCCTGGACTTTTCTTTCGTTTTGATTTGGGGTTTGAGTCGTTTTTTTTATTGGGGGGGGGGGGGGGCACGGGCTAGGGGTGCAGTTTCATTTTGTTCATTTTGGGTTTTAGGGGGTCAGGTCCTTTTTTGGTGGGGTCAGACACTTGAGAGCCAAACCAGACACCATGCATCTTTCCTGTCCGGACAGATGGAGCCCCAGGTCATGGATGGGGTGAACTCAACAAACCTTTCTAGGATGGTCCGTAGGCTAAGGGAAGGTCTGTGTGTGTGTGTGTGTTTGTGTGTGTGTGTGTATATGTATATAATTTCTTGTACAGCTGTTAGTAGTGCTAGATCTGACCTTTTTTCTTGTTGCTCCATTTTTTTTAACTTATTTGGGGTTTTAACTTATTTCCATGAATTTTTTGGTTTGGTTTTGGTGTTTTTTTTTAAGAGTTCTGGCTCTTAAAGTGGTCAAAGTTATTTATTTATTTGTAATTCCCATGGATTTCCAACTCCTACAGCTGCTGATCCCCTGGTTTTCCATTTGGGTCTTCCGTGTGTGTAGGATTTGCGTTAATAGTTCCTTTTGTACAGGGGAATACAGAAATTTTACTTTTTTATGTGCATTTCCATAAAACCAAACTACTTGATGTGATGGAGCCATCCCTTTATCATGGGGTGGGATGAAGGATGCTGTGAGCGTGTGGGGTACCTAGCACCACATCACAACTACTGCGGGGACCACCAGTGTGTCTCCCACTGAGACGACTCTGAACATCCCACCAAAGCAATACAGGGAAGGCTGGATCCATCCTTCTGCAGGGACACCAGTGGGATCTGGCAATGCCAGCAGAATCGTGGAATTCTGCTGTTCCCAGGGGCTCCAGCTGTGGCCTGGAGGACCTCACCTTGTGAGGCAAAGATGGGGTTGGGACAGGTCATGGGTTTCCAAAGGCTGCCACAAGGGATGGGTTGGGGTGGTCCCAAGTGCAGCTTGTGAGTATGAAGGTGGGGCTGGCCTTGCCGTGCCAAGGGGCTCTATCTGGGGAAGGGGCTGAGGAGGGAATTTGGGGGTCCCAGAGGCAGCTGCCTCTAGCAGGGAGCAGCCGGTCCCTGCTGCAAGCAAGGATCTCCCTGAGCCATCCCTAACAGCACCCCAGCAGGTGGTACTGGGAGCTTGATGCCTCCATCAGCTGCATGTGTGAAAGCCTTGTGGTTGAGAAGTGTGGAGTTGCCTGTGTGGTGATGCATCTTCCCCCCCATTCCCAATCCCCTCAGCTGCACTACAACCTCAGGAATTCCTTTGGGTAATGAGTTGGATGGTGAAAAGTCCCTTGACTGTATCAGGCTCACAGGGGACCAGTGTACATAAAGGTGAGTAATGAGCAAATCTGACTTGGCTTTGAGTTTTAGGCAGTACTGGAACTCTGTTGCAGTGTATTTCCACTCATGCCTTTATTGGTTCTATGAACCATGAAAAGAAGTTAAACTTACTTCCTTCTAGACTCATGCTTTTCCCATCCCCCTTTCCCTGCCCTTCACCTTCCTTTTGTACTGTTTTTCTAGACAGCTCCATAAAACTGGCTCTGGGAAGAGCTGAGTGAGGACTGCCCCAGCATCACCTCTCAGTGTGGTTCCCCTGCTTGCCCTACTGGAACACCACATGCCTGAAGCAAGGTGAAGCCTCCTGAACACATCAGGGTTGGTTGACACTGATCATCCTGTTGCACTCCCCCTGCTTCAAATCAAACCCCAAGTGGCACTTTTCAGGAAGACTAAGAACACAGTAATAAGTTTAATGTACAAACCCAGACACTGCTGTATGTGGACAGCACTACATCTGTGCCAGCAGAAAGTAGGCTCCTGGGGGGTAAAAATACACTGAAGGCCTTGAACGTTCCTGCCCCTGCTCTGCTGAAGCAGAGGTGCTCAAGGCTCCAGGTCAGGTGTGTGGCTCCAATCTCATGCCAGACTGCAGCAGCAATGGCCTGAAGCCTCACTGCAGTCCCTCAAGGCTTTCCACAATGCTCCTGCAGGAGCTCCAGTCCCATAGCTCTGCTGTGACTCTCATGAGGTTCACAACAGGAAGCTTGTTTCCATTTCTGTCTTCTCTTGCTGCTCTTAGGACACTTCAGTGGAAGATGATCTTTTTATATTTGGAATTGGGGATCTGTCCTCGTGCCTTCAGCCTCCTGACCGCCTCCCGCATGTGTTTGGGCTGCAGAGGTGGCAGCTCCCCCCACTTCTCACACACGTCCAGTGCTACACATCAAAAACCAAGAAGAGTTCCCATAAGCAAGACAGTTAAGCTTAGCCCATCTCCTACTGTTTGAGCTTTAATTTTAAAGCCAACAGTTAACATTATCGTTTGGGGTTTACAGCTCATAGTTTAACACGCAAGAATGGGCTTCTCTTTGTCTGAGTGAAAAGTCAGTCCTAAGGGCATCAATACCAGACTAGAGTAAACCACTTAGCTACTAAGGCATATGCTGGTTGGAGACACATGCACTTACTCTTTAAACCTTCTGCTCTAAAGCCACCCCTGGGCTGGATGGTGTGTTTTGGGGTGTTGTGTATGACAGTAACGGAAGTGGACATACAGACCAGTTTCTTTTCTATCATTTCAAGTATCATTCACACCTCCTGCCAAGGATATAAAGCAGTTGAGCACAGGAAACAACCAAGGACAGCACTGAAGCTGCTTATAGAAACCACCTCAGGCAACACAGCACCTCAGAGACAGCAGCAGGCCCTGGTAAGGGTGACCCCAGCACACACACGCCACATTCTGCCTGGCAAGTCTATACAAACTGCTTGGCAGCAAAGCCTATGCCTCTTCCTCCTCCAGCCCAAGCAAGGAGGGACACAGCTGGTCAGCCTCCCAGCCCATGTCCCAGAAAGATCCTGGACCTTCCCATGAGCAGACAATATTTACAGGTTTAAGAGACTTAAATATCTAATTTCCCTCTGGGCTGAATTTATCCACAGCAGTACCAAGAGAAGATCCTTACTGCCCTGTTGCAGCCTGCTCACAGGCTGACTTGCAAGAGCTAACTTCTCAGAAGGGATAAACCAGGAGCTCAGTGGTCACCAGCCTCTGCTGATGGGTGAGCAGTGACACCAACAGGCTTAGAGGGGACTAATGGCAACACCATACACCACCCTTCTCAGCTTGGCTCTTAACCACAGCATTTGGAAGGTCAGAGGGTCCCATAGGGCAGCAACCAGGAAACATCCAGCTTTACTCCATTGTCCTGCTCTGCTGCATGCAATGCATTCCCCCATCTTTTTCACTTTCTCCTCAACATCTGCCACTTACCTTCCTCCACCACCTCCCCAACAAAGACCTTGGAAATGCCGGACATGGCGATAACCACATTCTGAGAGACAGAGGTGCCGGTGATGGACTGGATCAGCTGGACAAGAGGAGGAGAGTCAGCTGATGGTGAAGCATTTTAGCTCATATTTAGCAGTTTGAGCCTGGCAAGTATCAACTGACAGCTCATGAAATGCACAGAACAGCAGTGACCGATCTTTAGAATTAGATCTACAGGTCTGGGCACATGCTGGCTGTCAAGGTTTTAGCTTTGCTCGTTCAGCTGCTGACCCTGAACCAGGCACTGCTTCTTCCCATTGCCTCACGGCCCCCCAAACCAGCATCATTTTAAGTAGATTCTGATTTAACTGCATAAGCCATGCAAGGGCACTGAGCTGGGACATAATAAGATCAGCTGAGCCGAGGGCAACAGTCTGAGCCACAGGGGCTGAGATGCAACTGGAGGAGAGCACACCAAGGCCCAAATAAGACCCCAGCCAGTAAGGCTCAGCCTGCTTGCCCTGCTCAGACTCAGTCTGTGGTGAAGCATTACTGATTTCATACCCGTTTAATGGCAGCTTTGGGGAAAGCAGAGCGCCGATACATCTCATAACGGTTCAGCTGTTCTTCAGAAAAGGAAGAGACCAGTATTCTGCATAGAGAGCATTGATTATTTACAGCAAAAAATTACAATAGAAGCCCGAAGCCTTTCAGGCTGCTGCAACAGTCCTGCAAAGCCCTTTGACCCTCCCAAGCCTCCTGCAACACAGAGCCAGGAAGGGGAAGGCAGTGCTCAGGTTTGTAACACAAAGGGGCTGGGCCTGTTCAGGAGGGATCCGGGATGGAGCTGCAGCCACTGCTGACCACGGGCTCACACACGGATTCCATCACAGAATTACAAAATCCCAGACCGGTTTGTATAGAAGGGACCTTAAAGTTCATCCAGTTCCAACCCCCTGCCACGGGCAGGAACACCTTCCCAGGGAAAAACTTACTCCTTTTATCCAATCTGAACTTCCCCTGTTTCAGTTTGATCCCGCTGCCGCTTGTCCTACCGCTACAGTCCCTGATGAAGGGCTCCTCTCTGTATTCAATGATTACCGCACACCCTGAAGCAAACCCCGAGCACCGACGTCCCCCGGCCCCGCTGCGCTCCTGCACTCACTGCATTTTCTGGATCTCGTCCTCGTCCACCTTGTGCTTCTTCTCCTTCCTCTCCTTCAGCTCCAGCTTCACCTTCTTGGCCGCGGACGGCTGCAGGCTGGGGTCCTCCCCGTCCACCACCTCCCTCTCTGCGCTCCTCACCTGAGCGAGAGCGCAGCGGTCGGCTCGGCGTCCCCGCGGTCCGCCCGGATCCCGCTCCCCGCGTACCCGGCCCGGCCTCACCTCTCCGTCCGGCACGTCCCCCTTGGGCTCGCCGCCCCCACCGGCCTCTCCCGTTTCGCCCTCGCCTGCCACCTCCGCGGCCGCCGGCTCCTCCGCGGCCATGGCCGGGCCATCGTCCGAGGGGGACGGGGCCGCGGGCGGCGGCTCCTGCGCGGCGCCGGCCCCGAGCTCCTCCCGGCCCGCGCCGCCAGGGTCCGCCATCACGCTCCGAGCGGCGTCGCCTCCTGATGACGCAGCGCGACGGCTGCTGCGGGAGGACGCGGCGGGGCGGGGCCTGTCGCCAGGGCAACGGGTCAGCGGCTGCGGGGGGGCAGGGGGTGGGAAAGGGGGGACCGGGGTGGGAAGCGCTGGGGA